CCCCCAGGAAAACCGTGGTGTGCCCCATCATCGACGTGATCAGCGACGACACCTTCGAGTACATGGCGGGCTCGGACATGACCTACGGCGGCTTCAACTGGAAGTTGAATTTCCGCTGGTATCCCGTGCCCCAGCGGGAGATGGAGCGCAGGAAGGGGGACAGGACCCTGCCCGTCAGGTCAGTGCCCCCCTTCCCAAAAATCCACCCCCCGCATCCCAAAATTCCGCTGCGGGATCGGAGGCGGGATCGCAGAGAAATCCCGGGCGCCACCTTGGTGCCGCAACGTTGGGCCGATCCCGTCCCGTCCTCTTCCCAATGGATTCCAGGGATTTAGGGATTCCAGGGGCTTGGGGATTCCAAAGATTTAGGGATTCCAAAGATTTAGGGATTACAAAAATTTAGGGATTCCAGGGATTTGGGGATTCCAAAGATTTAGGGATTACAAAGATTTAGGGATGACAAATATTTAGGGAGTCCAAAGATTTAGTGATTCCAGAGATTTAGGGATTCCAAAGATTTAGGGATTCCAAAGATTTAGTGATTACAAAGATTTAGGGATTCCAAGGATTTAGGGATTCCAAAGATTTAGTGATTACAAAGATTTAGGGATTCCAGGGATATGGGGATTCCAAAGACTAAGGGATTCCAAAAATTTAGGGATGACAAAAATTTAGGGATTCCAGGGATTTAGGGATTCCAGGGATAAGGGGATAACAAAAATTTAGTGATTCCAGGGATTTAGGGATTCCAAAGATTTAGGGATGACAAATATTTAGGGATTCCAGGGATTTAGGGATTCCAAAAATTTAGGGATTACAAAGATTTAAGGATTCCAGGGATTTAGGGATTCCAGAGATTTAGGGATTCCAGGGATTTAGGGATTCCAGAGATTTAGGGATTCCAGGGATTTAGGGATTCCAGGGATTTCTGCCTCTTCAGATCCCTCTGTTAATGGATTTTTATTCCTGTTTTCTTGGGATTTAAGGCAGATATTCCAAAGGATTTCTGAGCATTTTTGAGCTTTGAACCCCAGTGATTTTCACTTAAATTCCTGGTTTATTGCTTGGAAAATGGGATTGATAACGGAGCACCCTGAGGGAAAAATGATCCAAGAGTGTGCCCTGACCTCTTCCATTTAATCGCTGGAATTACAGAGTGGAACAAAACCTCTTCCAGAATTGGAAATGGAGCTGAAAAGGGAACAAATGGAATAAATTTCTGGCCATGGCCATGCCTGCTCAGCTCCAACAGCTGCTGGCGCTTCCTGCAAAATTCCAAAAGAGACAACAAAGGGTTCCCGAGTGGATGGAATGGATTTAAATCTGGGAAGGGGAAAGAATTCCANCCCCCAGGAAAACCGTGGTGTGCCCCATCATCGACGTGATCAGCGACGACACCTTCGAGTACATGGCGGGCTCGGACATGACCTACGGCGGCTTCAACTGGAAGTTGAATTTCCGCTGGTATCCCGTGCCCCAGCGGGAGATGGAGCGCAGGAAGGGGGACAGGACCCTGCCCGTCAGGTCAGTGCCCCCTTCCCAAAAATCCACCCCCCGCATCCCAAAATTCCGCTGCGGCATCGGAGGTGGGATCGCAGAGAAATCCCGGGCGCCACCTTGGTGCCGCAACGTTGGGCCGATCCCGTCCCGTCCTCTTCCCAATGGATTCCAGGGATTTAGGGATTCCAGGGGCTTGGGGATTCCAAAGATTTAGGGATTCCAAGGATTTAGGGATTACAAAGATTTAGGGATTACAAAAATTTAGGGATGACAAATATTTAGGGATTCCAGGGATTTGGGGATTCCAAAGATTTAGGGATTACAAAAATTTAGGGATGACAAATATTTAGGGAGTCCAGGGATTTGGGGATTCCAAAGATTTAGGGATGACAAATATTTAGGGAGTCCAAAGATTTAGGGATTCCAAAGATTTAGGGATTCCAAAGATTTAGGGATTCCAGGGATATGGGGATTCCAGAGATTAAGGGATTCCAAAGATTTAGGGATGACAAAAATTTAGGGATTCCGGGGATTTAGGGATTCCAGAGATTTAGGGATTACAAAAATTTAGTGATTCCAGGGATTTAGGGATTCCAAAGATTTAGTGATGACAAATATTTAGGGATTCCAGGGATTTAGGGATTCCAAAGATTTAGGGATTACAAAAATTTAAGGATTCCAGGGATTTAGGGATTCCAGAGATTTAGGGATTCCAGGGATTTAGGGATTACAAAGATTTAGGGATTACAAAGATTTAGGGATTCCAGGGATTTAGGGATTCCAAAAATTTAGGGATTACAAAGATTTAGGGATTCCAGGCATTTCTGCCTCTTCAGAACCCTCTGTTAATAGATTTTTATTCCTGTTTTCTTGGGATTTAAGGCAGATATTCCAAAGGATTTCTGAGCATTTTTGAGCTTTGAAACCCAGTGATTTTCACTCAGCCCCATCCCATCCTCTTCCCAATGTTCAGGAATTCCAGGGATTTCTGCCTCTTCAGCTTCCCTCCCATTTGTTGCAAATGGATTTTTAGTCCCTTTTTTTTTTTTTTTTTTTTTTTTTTTTTTTTTTTTCTTTTTTTTTTTTTTTTTTTTTTTTTTTTTTAATTTAAGGCAAATATTCCAAAGTATTTCTGAGCATTTTTGAGCTTTGAGCCCCAGTGATTTTCACTTAAATTCCTGGTTTATTGCTTGGAAAATGGGATTGATAACGGAGCACCCTGAGGGAAAAATGATCCAAGAGCGTGCCCTGACCTCTTCCATTTAATCGCTGGAATTACAGAGTGGAACAAAACCTCTTCCAGAATTGGAAATGGAGCTGAAAAGGGAACAAATGGAATAAATTCCTGGCCATGGCCATGCCTGCTCAGCTCCAATAGCTGCTGGGGCTTCCTGCAAAATTCCAAAAGAGACAACAAAGGGTTCCCGAGTGGATGGAATGGATTTAAATCTGGGAAGGGGAAAGAATTCCAATCCTGCAGGTGGAGGGAAGGGCAGCTCAGGGATCAGCCCAGGCAAGGAAGGGATGGAAGGGCAGGAAAAACCTTCCAAAATTGCTTTCAAAATTCCCATTTCTGTCCCTGATT